CTTCAACTATCTAGCTTCCTCACTTTACGAACAATGCAAAGGAAAGAAACACCTGGGAACCAGTAAGTGTGAAAGTTAATTTCAAAGAAATACTGACTACGAAAAGGATGAGTTTCCATTCATCTCAGTTTAGTGTACTTTAACACAGGCAGATGTAGGTATTCCTGTCCAAATATCATAAGATGATAGAAAAATAATCTATTTATTTTATCCTGGCTGTACTGAATAGACAAGGATAGGAGTCACTGTTCTTACATGCTGTCATGCTGCTGCACAGCTTTTCATTTCTGAATGTTGTATTTTTTCCACTACTCAGAAGAAAATTCTCTTCAGAAGTAAACAGCATGAGTGATTAATGTATGAACTATGAAGATGCTTGCAAAACTTCTTTTTAGATTAAAGCAAGTACAGGCTAAATTTCAAGGCATTTTCTTTCACTATGGTTTAGTAAAGAAATGATTTAGATGTCTAGCACAGAAATGTGCTAGACTGTGATAGATAAAAGATCAAGAAAGACTTTTTTGTGAATATTACCAATTAATGTGTGCTAACAAGCTCTTAAAAACCTTCCCAGGAACAGCTGAAGTTTTTGTAACTCAGAGGCAAGGATCATCACAGCTATAGCTGACTTTTAACAAACTTTTTGATATATTGACCCCAAACCCATCTCTTTATATTCTCCAACCACACTGGTCATAACACATTTAGTCTAAAATGCATGGAATGCATTTAGTGGAAAAGATAGTTCAGGTGACCATATCCACTATTTTTAATGAATGAGGGTGATTTTGTAAAGTTGAACAAGGTGATAGTGAAAATAAATCCTACAATTGCAGCAAGTCCTTAGATTTGTTTACACATACTACTATTATGATCCTCACCATTAGGAACATATTAATCTATAATAATCATCACACTTTGAGAAGGCTCTTAGATAACCAGTACTGGCAACTAATGCAAAGTATACGTGCAAAAAAGCAAGCTTGTGCAAAAAAGCAAGCTTGAGTATATGTCCTAAAGCTCCTTTGAGCAGGAGAGGAAACCGATCTGTCCATCCAGATAGATATGGAAGCACAGAACAGATAATACAACACATCACAGAAATAGGCAATAAAATGAGATAGTAAAAACCCATCAACATATATCATCTGATCATGGTATGGTGTCATCTCCCAGCCTCTATTAGCTCTTGCTGCATCAGTGCAAGTCCCAGACACTTTATCCTGTTTATAATTGCTGATGAGCAGTAATAAGGCCTCCATGCCTCAGCTCCTGTCCGTTCCACTTCAGCAACCACCTATTAAGTTATAACTTTTATTTACAGCCTTGCTTGATGCGCTGTTCTATTAGTACAGCTGGAAACTGGTGGTGGGGGGAGCATCCCTAATGGGCACTATTATTGCCAGGGCTGGGTGATTTATTATGCTGCTCGAAGGCTGTTCTATCATCACTTTCCTGTTGGTGAGAGCTCCAAGAAGGTTGGATTTCTAACACAATGCCCTCCAGAAGTCAAACACTAAAGAACACCTTAAAAGTCCCTTGGAACACCAATGAAAAACATACCTCAAAGTTGTTTTAATGTTATGAACCCCCTCCAATAATATTTTGTATATTTTTTGCTCAGGACCTTAACACTTAAGAGCAATTAAAAACAAAAGATTAGTGGTGTACCAGGTCTTTTTGTCCTTACTCAACACAGAGATTGACAAAAAAATCATGCAAAAGTAATGATATCTTGGTTTTGGCTCTGGCTGAAAATTTGTATGCTTCTATTTCCACAACCTGCCCTTTCTATAACTCCTAGAAGGCTGTCCTCTTGATTGTACAGGTTCAGTCTCAAAGCATTTAGATTTCTGACACTGCTACAATCAAGCACACGCCTATAGTATAAGAATATCAATAAAGCCGAAACTTCAAAAAGGACCATGCACCTGCTTAATTGCTTTACTTGAGCAGTGGAAGAATTATTTCCATCTTCTAGACTCAAATTTTAAACTAGAGAAAGCATAGAGCAATGAGACAGATACTGTAATCTCATCCAATATAAATACTACCATCTAGGACAGATATCCTCATAAAATGTGAGCTATCTGCACATGTAACTATACAAAATATTAAAGATGCACATTTCTCATGAACTGCTACTGAGAAATAAAGTACTTAAAAACTCACTGACTTTATGGATATAATGTATGACTTGATTGTATCATTACTGCATTTTATCTGCCTGTTTCTACTACCTTCTCTACCACACAATTAAAAATTAACTGAGTGCACTCACACAGTTCCACCGATTTTTTCCAGGTTTCTTTAACTGCATGAAAATGTTTTTAAATCTGACTGTTTAGAATGGCATATTAAATCATCATTAAAGTTGTACAGCAGAAAAAGAAGAGTAATATGCCACTTACTACTGCACTTTCACAACATGGGGACCCAATATAAATGGGATCTGGATGCCCTACTGATTAGAGTAAGCCTCACAGTATCATCTGCCATCAATCATAACATTACCTAACCATTAAGAAACAATCAAAACACATAAGCAGCTATACACTAGGCCACACAGTCCTATCTATTTTCCTACAAAATCTTCAGACCGCTGGCTCTCAAAAACCTTTGAGGCATCATCCAAACGAATGATTGCAAGGCTTTATTCATTCTTTTCATTATAATCCTTGTCCTGTGGGCACACTTTGGAATAGAAATACTTTTTACCACAGCAATGATTCTGGTGAACAGGAGGAGGAAAAACGTACTATTTGGTGTCATAATACAATTTTTTATCTGAACAGCTCCTTCAGCATGCAGGTTGCCAAGTACATGAGGTAAAAACTCTTTTTTTTGGTAAGAGAACTTTTCCTGCGTTTTGACAGATTTATTGTTTTGATCTTTCTTCAATGGTTACATTAGTGCTAATAAAATATGAAAGGTTTATGTATTCCTTAATATCCTCCTGATGGGAACCTGCATACAAGATAAGTAGGTCAAATTTCTAATTTTCTGTCTCAAATGCTACTATATGGCAGACTTTAGGGAAAAAACTATGCTTGAAGGGGAAAAAAAATACAGATGAATTCCACCAAAACATTCTTCCTTCAAAGCTCTTCCAGGCAGAAGAAATGTAGAATACTTACAGAAAAGAGTCTTATACACAATGTGTAGTATTGACAAATATTGCTTGTATCGCTTAAATAGCCGCCTAGGAAGGGACACTAAGCTGAAGTGAATGTAGTGTGAAATATTCACCTACATAGTCTGCTCCTTCTGCCTGAAGATGGCACACCATTTCTGGGTAATATTTTGCAGCCAATGTTTTCTTGTCAATCTCCATATTTATCTGGATTCCCAAAAGCAGACTTTGAAAACATGGTAATTTATTTTAAAAACGAAAGTTTGCTGAAAATTCAAGCTCTGGAGAAGAAAACTGTAACCCCTGGTAACAGGTTTATTAGTGTAAGGGACTATGAACAAAATATGCAGATCACTGAGCAAATAATGTAAAAAAACATTGGGGGAAATTGAGGTAATATAAAATCATTAGGTTTAGTTGACTGAAGATGAAACTTGTGGCATCAAATTAAGATCTCCTTATTTTCTTGCTAAACACACCAAATGATTAACATACAAGCATGTAGGGACCAAACATTAGCATAAACCAAAAATAAGAGAACTACTGAGCAAAGTTAGCCAAGCATTTAATGGATGTTTTTCAACATGTCTAGTAGCTTCATCTGCTTTATTCTAAGAAGCTTTTACTGTTGCCATTTGACACTCCAAATAGTGGACTTGCCTTTTTGCTAATCACAAGCACTTTTTTTTTAAAATATTCACATAGTACTCTCAGTTTTCAGTATCTATAGCATCACAGAAAGCTTTTAAATTACCCTGCAATGAAAACCAGAGTTAAACATTAAAACAGCTAACGTATAAACAAAATATAATTTAGTAATACTATGAGCACAGCAGATTAGTTTGCAAGGGTACAGTGGCAAACATTCCATCTTGTTTAGGTATACCTCTATGGCTACGCAGAAAAGAAAATCCACAGTCTTCCTATTCTGGAGGAGTTGGATCCAGTACCTTCCAGTGCCAAACTTAGAGAGTTCTTTGGCAAACAATACTCACAGCATTGTCACAGATTATCATGCATTACTTGAGAGGTCTGCACCAAGTGCAAAGTGATGTAGCTTCTCTTTAACCTTCCTTCACTGCTGACCAAGCCCACACATTCGCTGCAAGCTAACAACATGCATATATGGAATAACTACAGTTTAGCTAAACATACAGTAACTTGAAACACTTTTTGAAAGAATAACTTCAGAGGAAATTTACCTTGAACACCTGAAAGAGCAAGAGCCTTTAATCCACGCAAAATCAAAGTCTGAAAAAGATCTGAGCCAATGCTTAACTTGGCTGCCTGCCTGAATGAGTGCTCACACGATTCTTCGTGACAGATCTGCTGCGGAAGCAGCAACTTCAGCCTGGCAATGACCTAACATGTCACTACTAACGCTAGCTCTGTGAGAGACTATCCATCTATACCCTCCATGTAGAAATAAAGCCATCGAAAGGACCCAAAGCAGGTAAAATTTAGTCTCAATGCAAGCATCAGCTGTCTATACTGCATCTTCCATCAGGGAAAGTAAAGTCAATATACTCCAAACAGTTTTCTACTCAATACTTTGCATTTAAAGGGGAGATTTCCAGAAAACTATCACAATCATTAGACTTAAATCACACCGATTACTCCTGTATGTATTATGTTTACAAAGATTAACTGAAAACATAGTAGATTTATGGAATTATGTTTAACAGGACTCTGAGATGAACTATCTGCCATACAAATCCTTTTATACATACATTTCTGACAGCAAAGCAACAGCATTTATTTTTGTTTGGCATTCACCAGATAGAGTTCCTTCCCTTGACTATTAAACTATAACCATACAGCTACATATCATGCAAAACCTAACTCCTTGATCCCCACAAACACATACCTGAGTCGCAAGATCTTTTGGTTGGTGTGGTTAATGAGGCATGAGCTGTACCTGTGCATGGCCCACCTGGAAACAGAGAAGATAACATGTCTCAAAATACCACCTATATTTAACATTTACAATAACATCAAGATTATACTTAGGAATATAAAATGCTGAGTAGCACTTGTGTTTGGAAAGCACATATGGAAGCAGTCTACTATTCTCAGTATTTCTTGCCCAGTCAAATCCGAATATGTCTTGCGCTGAAAAAATAGATGAGAAGTTGGGACAAAAAGACAATTTATGTTATACTTTATAACTATTTCAAGAGGCGGGTTTAGGAAAATACGCACTGTAATTGCAATTTTTCCAGCATTGACAAAGTTACTGTTTATGTCAGAACAAAGCTAGAAATGTATCTAACTAACCCAAAAGTAACACAAGGGACAAAGTGATCAGCTCCCTGATGTCAACAGAAACGTTGTCACTGTCTCCCGTGAGATAATGACTTTGCCTCTTATCTTGTTCTCATTATGTTTTCAAAGCATGGCACAAGCACACGCTAACAAACTCTTTCCAGGTTTTTTTTGTTGAACTCTGGACTCTTGCCCATACATCTGGTATCTGCTTGCTAGTAAGTTGCTTTCTGGCTTTTTTCTTAACATGCATCATTGTTGAAGAGTTCTCCAGAGATCTTTTTAAAATAGCAACCAATTGAGTGTACTCAGCAACTTGCAGTAAAAATAAATAAATAAATAAAAATAAACCCCATACAGTGAACCAAAGACAAATTGACAGTAGCATTACCAGTGGTAATAACACATCATAGCTTTGATAATTGGATATTACAAATTGGATGGTGCTAGAGCGCCTAAAATTAAGTTAGATCTAGTAGAGTTGGCTATCAAAATACCCATAATCAAGTTTGCACTGGACTGCTGGTGATATAGTAGTACCATGCTGACAATACAACAGAGCTTATGACAGGATAATCTTTAACATAAGTCTTCATGCCCCGAAAAATACTTCCTTCCTCCTTTTTTTTTTTTTTTCCAGTCTTTGCATATCTGGAAAGCAACACTGTGGCTTTGGCAATGTTCTTCTCTTTTCAAATATTTTTAGACCACAGCTGCCTCTTAAGATGCAGCAGCTCTTCTCTAAATAATTTTAGTTACATTCTCCCAGTTTTCACTCAATAGACATTAACAGGCATCATCACTGTGGACTATCAAATAAGACTAATCCTTTCAATTATTGTACAGTAAATATTTACACTAGTTGATATTTTCAGCATCCTACTAAATATCTTTATTTCTCACTCCTAAAGTACAATAAGTTGGTATGTATCCTGCACTTCCCTGTGTCAGGGTTTATCTTTTATTTAATCTTCCCTCATTAGGTGTTACTTTCATATAGCTTTGATTTGTATAGCACAGCACCAGAGTTTCAACAAAGAATATCTTGGGATTTGCATGCACGTACACCAGTGCCTAATAACCAGCGAAAGTGGCATGTCTTTTGCAGCACTTCCTTCTGCTGCTGTTTTTGTTCCACCGTTAAAAATGTCATGCATAATTCAATACTAGGTAGTATGAGCTTGACTGTGCAATTCTATGTGGAAGTCATTATGTTGAATCTTTTGGTATACATAATGGCTAATACAGGCATCTTTGTATTATTTGAAACAGGGCAGTGTATTTCCCACAGCTTTGATAAAAATTCTGCATGAAAGAAAAGGGAAGTCAGATAACAGCAGAACACCAGTCCTTCTTGGCTAAACACAAAGGTAGGCTTATAACTTAGCATGATTCAGGATATATCTGCACCTTCATTCCCCCAAAAATAAGTGTTTCAAGGGAATTTAACTGTGATACATAAAACACTTCAGTGCACAGTGAAAGGCCACTTATGTCTAGCTTCTGACATAACCCACAGGGCTGCAGACTGCTATTTTTCTCAGCACAAACAAGAGATTAAGATGGAAGAATAAAAGTATCTTTCTACTCTATATCCAATTAGCTGATTAAAGAATAGCTTCTGCTCCTATTTTTTTCCAGTGTATGGTTTCTGGTATTTGCAACTCCTCTTCCAAACAAAAGCAGCCACTTCCCAGCAATAATGTATTCCCAAGAGAAGATGATTAAAAATGCAAAAATACTAAAAGCTACTGTAGAAATTAGGAGAATTGTGAGAATCACCAACTTTGCAAATTCCAACATAGAATTAATAAAGGACAAAACAAGATCCTTTAACTTGAACATTATCATGTATTAAAAAAAAAGGTCTTGTTAATGTAGCTGCTATGGTTTTGGCTTCTGATACCCCTAGCTTTCCGTAACTTACTGTTAACTGTACTCTAAATATATCAATTTGGAAAAACAGGTTCAAAACCAGTTTCTCTGCTAACTCTCTGAAGTAGTCAAATTTTATGTATTACTTATATTTCTCTATATATGTTAGTATTGTTATTGTTTACTGTTGTAATTTCTGTATGTTTAAATTGACCTTTAGAATGCCTTTCTGCATTGTCCACCTCCCTTCCTGAAAGATGGTAACAATTGCCAAGTACCACCCGTCCTGCAGGACGTACCCTGAGTCAAGGTAGTTTCTTGTCTCCCTTTCCTAAAGTCTTTGTAAAGTGAAGTGACTCCACTCAGTCAGAACTTCCTGTGCAGGAAAAAGTGAAATACTAGGGTAACCCCCCTATTCTTGCTGTTCAAGAAGTGCTAAGTTTGAACCCAGAGTACGTGTGTCAGGTGTATTTGAACAGCACTTGGAAGCACTTACTGAGCAGAGGAAGAGATGCAGAATGGAGCAAAACCAAGTTTGTACAAGAGTAAAAAGTCTAAGATTACAATAATACACTGAAACAATTACAGATAACACAAAAACTGCAAGCCAGATAATGAACAAACATGAAAAATAAGTGAAGGAGCCTGAAGCTCAGTAACACTTGATCACAGTGACAATAAGCATGCCCAAACACTACTTTTAGCTTCCGGTACCTGTGATGGTTGTTTCCCAGAAAAAGCACACCAACTCCCTGCATGCAATGGGCTGGAAGAAGGTAGTAAGAAAGAGCTGAATTTCCTTCGACAGCACTGTTGTAGCCAGGACAGGGAGAATTTCATGGCTATTTGCAATACAGGAAGGAACCCACTTTTGGAAACCTGTCCAAACTAGTAATCTAGTTGTGCATTTCCAGAATTGGTAGAGACATAATCTAATCAATCTACACAACAGAGTTTGAAAACAGTCGTTGATTATAAACACCAATACATAAACAAAGGGGAACATAAATCTCTAAATTCAGTCTGCACAGACAGAAAACACTCTCTTTAAGGAAAAAAAGCAAAAGAACTTTACAGCACTTAAGAACTGCTTATTTGCTGCAGAATGGGTAAGCTGCATGACAATTTAAGTGATGTCATTACTAAACTGGTAAGACGATTATATCATAGACAAACACACACTTTTTAAAATCTAGTTTTACAAATCTGCCATTATTTACTTTTGTGGATTTTCATCTACATGCAGCTTTTGGAGAAGGAAGGGAAACCTGGACTGCTTTGTTGGTACTGAGCAGCTGATAAATTTAACAACTGTAACAAAGTAAACGGAGACAGGATTCAGATTCCACTTTTTTCCCTGCTATCGTCTCACTCCGTTACCTGCTTTTCCTCAGTTTCCTCATTTGTAAAATAGGCATGATACTTTCCTACTTTATAGGTGTAAGTTGAAGTGTAAAAATGTGCTTTTGAAACCAGCAGTTAAATTATATTATTATAAATAATTTTTACGTAACCTTGATAGCTGTGCAGCTTTAACCCACATTTTTTTTGTGTGACTGTGTTTCTGTTTCACTTTCCATGGGGTCCTTTCATTTTAATAAATGGGATCCTAGGATACACTGTCTATTCTGCAGTGTGAAGCAACTAAAAATCAGGGGGAACAGTGGTACTATTCCACTGGTCTTCATTGTTTCAAAATTATCATGCCACAGACATGGAAAGAAATGTTCGTTTCATAAATCTATGTACCAGATCTTTGCTTAAGATGTTAGAAGAACCAGAAATGTTCTTTAAATGAAACCGGGACTGTAGGGATTAGACTGAAATTTACAGAAAGATCCTCACGCCATGAAAGACGATGAAGGCAACACTTCTACTAGACACTATTTTGTTCAAATTTTTAACTGCCTATATGTGCTGTACTGGCACCTAATACTAGTGGCATTTCTCAAAAGACAACTCAGCCCACAACTCAATACGGTTTTGTATTTTAAAGCATTCTTGCAAACTCCCAGAGAAAAAGTGCATCAATCCTAAAAAAAAATAAATGTATTTTGTGATGCATATTCAGGCAAATCCAGGCTTGATGATAATTCAAATGAAAGACTGAATTACTGTTAATTTTAACATTTAAAAAAGTACCAAAAGGCTCTTTGTACATAGTATTTTATGAAAACAAGGCTAAAAAAAAAAAAACCAAAAAACCCCATCTCTTAAGATGTAAAACACCTTTTACTATTATCTAACTTGATAAAAGAAAAAACCTGAGAAAATACCTAGTTCTTATTCTGTGGCATAGAAATCCAAAGATGACTGTAATATCAAAAAACAGCCAGGTACATATTCTATATTAGAGGTGTGTCCTCTCTTGCTCTGATTCAAGACACACAAAATTGAGCACAAGAAGAAAGAACACATGACAATCTTGGGAGTTAATAAGGAAAATTAGAATTATTCATCATCACTTAGCTGCAGCTTTCTCAGTTATGTTTGGGTACAAGTTTAATTGCAATATTAAATGATGTGGATCAGGTAGGCTAGTTTTGTACTCAGCATAATTTTAACAGTTACTGCATTCTTTTGGATTAGAGAAAAACATACAAATTGGTATCAGAATAAATCAGGTTAGCAACAAAGCAAATTATTTTCTAAAACCATCTGTGACAAGCAAGAAAAAAAATAGGCAGCTAGCTTAGACTGTTTATACATTTAATACTTTATAGAAGTGGGCATGCACATAACTTTCAATCAGAGATGAGCCAGAAAACAAATTTCCCTATAGCCAGAATTAAAAAAAAAAAAAAGGCAGGATGTACAAAACTGACTCCTACTGCAGTGAGCAACCAAATTCTCAAAGCCAAGGCATTTAGAAAAGTATACAATGGATAGCACCCAAGAGCAATTGTCATTTTAAACATCACTGTCCTTAAATAAAAGGCACAAAATGCAATTAAGGATATCGCAATAATAATTCAAAATATGAAGTATTTTCAGAGCATAATAGGAAAGCTGTCATCTCTGCTGACAAACTCAGGCAAAATGCAAAAAACTGTGAAGTTGTTATAAATTGGTAGAAACCTTTTGCATAGTGTCAGAGAGAAGGCCACTCAACAAAAAAGAAAGAAAAGAAAGGATGCACTTGTTTATCCATTTTTCATAAGGTTATGTTGAAAAAACTGATGTAAGATTTTTTTTTTTTAATTCCAAAGATAGAAAAAATATCATTACTTTTCTAGTATTATAGCCTGTGTGGCTTTTTACACAGTCATGCTTCAAACAAGCCATGAAATTTGGAGTATAAACATCCAATAGGTGCAGTAGAAAAAACAATCTCTCACCTTTCTGCCAGAGATCTTTTACAGAAGCCTGGGGCATCTCTGTCTCAGATGTAGTACACTTAATGTACATAAAGTAACTTCACCAAAATAACTTCATAATTGGAGGTATTTCAGTGCTTGCAGCACATGCAAATGCTTAATAAAATAAACAATGTTTTAAAGCATTTTTCAAACTTGTCTTGCAAATTTAAGTGTTTGAGATAAACTAATGATGTTTTAAATACTTAGCTTGACATGCAACAGTTCAAATTCTGGAGGGTATACAATAACTAGCCAAAATTTACAGACATTCAGTCCTGAAAATTCATATTTAGGCATCTAAAATTCAGCACACACAGAGGTAAGGTGTGGTCAGTGATCGTCACCACCTTTCTCGGCTGAACTCTCCAGTGTATTTTTTGACATTTACAGCAATATCTCAGATCTTTGTGTATCTTCTTATAAAGTCTTCAGTGTAGAAATGTAGAGCATTTAACTTTTCTAGAAACATCAGCTATTCTTTTTGTCCTTTTTCAATGATGGTTCTTGCTAATTCAAGGAGGCCAGAAAGAGTTAAGCACATAATTAAAATAAAATCATGTTAACTGACCCTAAGAACTACTGAAATATCAAATCTGATCCAGCTGCCAGAGTCAGAGTTGTTCACATTGACATTTCTCCTGTCACATAACACTACAGTTAGTTTTAAACCTGCACAGCATCAGCTTTAGGTCTACTCATACAGTGACAGAAAAATAATGTGACAGCCCCAAAGAAAGCAATGAAGGCCTGGAACTAAGCAAAAGTATTTCATGTGCGGTGTGACCTTTTCTTTACCAAAATACATAGAACCTTCCTTAATAAGCTAATTTTTTTTTTTAAAGAGTGCTGGTGGCTGGAGGTAGGGAGAGAGAGAAGCAAGGGCGGTTGTCAAATCTCTTTTTTTTCCCTGTCTGCTAAAAATAAACAAAAACTCTGCCCACCCAATAAAGGAAACCTTTGACAAAGCAACTGGCTCATATGGTGACTGACACTGAAATAACTACCATTAGGACCTCCTAAATGAAGGTAGGAGACGAAAGGGAAAAACGAGAATAGATGAAAACTGTACAAGAACTTGAACAGAGAAACTTATCTGCACATAAAACAGCAGAAAAAAAGTTAAACTGATTTAACCTTCTGTTAAGAAACAGATCATTAAAATCCATGCAAACTTACACTTTGTAAAGTTATACCAATATCAATCTACTCCTTGTCTGCAGAAGTTTATTTCAGAAAACTTACTGCAACTGATAAGACCTGAAGGTTCTAGATAGAAAAAGGCAACTCAGGAAGC